GGGGGGACTTGGTGAAGGTGGGAGCCTAGTAAACATAATGTCCTTCATGTAATTGTAGATTAATGATACCAAAATAAAAAAAATTGTGTATCAAAACCTTAATTTAAAAAAAAAGCCTATCATACAAATGTCATGTATTGAATTGAAGACTCCGTAACATTTGTTCGTTTCCTTGAGAGGTTTGGAAATCTTGCTTTACACTACTGCCTGACTTGAAAAACTGTTCTACCGAATACAGTAGTCCTTAAAAGACAAAAATCACTTTTAACCTTAGTCTTCAACCCAAATTCCCACCTCTACCACTGCAGCTTATCTTCTATGGGTAAAAATGCAGGCAAAGCAGTCAGACTTCAACAGTGGAGGTGCGGCTCACCACTTTCCACTAATTGGAAAAGCAGAAACTGACAGAAGAGCTTTTACGATGCATTTCACTTTTCCCAACCCTTATGGGCAGGTACTATAGTTAACACATTTTCCACCCCCAGAATTCATTTCCTATTGTGTTAACAGTGTATTCCTTAAAGTAGTGGTTTTCAACCCAGACTGCACAGATAAAGAACCTGGGGTGATACAGTATAGACATACCACAGACGTATTGTGGGTTCAGCTCCAGATCACTGCAATAAAATTAATTATCACAATACAAGGAGTCAAAAATGAATTTTTTGGTTTCCCAGTACATATGTTCATAGTATACCATAGTCTATTAAGGAATGCAGTAGTATTGTCTAAGCAAAATGTACAAACCTTAAAAAACTTTGCTAAAAAATGCTAACCATCATCTGAGTTTTCAGTTAGTCATAATCAGTAATCACAATAATTTGTTTGAAATACTGGAAGAATTATCAAAATATGAGAGACTTTACACAGTGAGCAAATGCTGTTAGAAAAGGAGGCATCAGAAAACTTGCTCAAATGCAGGGTTACCACAAACCTTCAGTTTCTAAGTCACAGTACCTGCAAAGTAAAATAAAGTGAAGAGCAATAAAACAAGGTATGCCTGAACTTGGAGCTCATACAGTACCAATTAAGCAGAACTTCTGGGAAAACCTTCCGAGGTGATGCCAAGGTACATCCTTGAAACCACTTCCAGCCTTGAAGTTTGGGAAGGATGAATTCTCCCTGCAGGAGATACGCATGATTGTTATCCCACCTCCCTGGCTAGTAAGACATATGGGAACATTGGCTGAGGGCTTCTTGGAAATACTCATTTTCCTGTGAAAGCTTCTCAAAACATTTTTTCTAGCTTGTGTAAGTGGATGTTAAGTTTGCAAGGGCCAACAGCCATTATTACTCAAAGGGGAAACAGACTAAAGCCAGAACTCAGAAGTGAGCAGGAAAAAAGTTATCACCCATTTCCCTGATGACATCACCTTCCATCAAATGATGTCTGCAGCCAGCACTACACCCCTGGTTAGTCCTGTCAGTTTGGTTCCGTTACCCTTCACTTGCAACCTTAAGGGCTCCAAATTAGAAAGCAACACATAGACATGGTGAAGTCAAGAAAAGGGTGGAACTTAATCTTTATTTACAGGACACCACAAGATATGAAATTCCACATAAGAAACCCATTGAGAGAAGTTTCATACAGTATATACAGTTTGGAACTGTTCAAGTATAGTTTTGTTGTAAAAAGTGCTACACTTATAAACCACATTTAAAAAGAGTTCTTAGTAGAGAAACAGCAAGACAAACTCATACCAAACATAGTACTCAACACCTTTATGCCTCAGCTGTACAATCTAAAAGTTAAAGGTCCCAGGAGCACCATCCTGAACTTGGAATGTGTAGCCTTCAGAGGTAGTTTCTGGTACAACATTTTGATCTTCCTCTTCCTGAAAGTTAAAAAAACATCATCCACGTATGGCACACTTCTAAGCAGTAAACTGTTTAGAAATCTGTATGTAGTCTTAGAAGCCTTCATCTGCATTAATCCCCCTTGAATCCTGCCCCATACAGTATTTCAGTTTTTGAAATAGCAGAGGGAGGGCTGCTGAAACTTGCCAATTCAGGTGCCTGCCTGAGGGGAGGCTCTGAATGGGTTAAGGAACGCTACCACACTAACAGGGAATAGAGATTTTCTTCTCCACTTGTCACTTTTGAGTAGGAAATGGGGAAAACAAGGTATTAAAAGCCCAGAGCATGTATGGTCATTGGGCTGGCCCACTTCTCCATCAACTCCTACTTTTTAATTCCTAAGTTTAGTTATTTTAAAGTAAAGTGGTAACTTAAAAAACCTCAAGTTAAAAAGATTATCATCAAGCCAAATATTAGAGAAGCAAGTATGTACATTATTTCCTACTTAGACTGCTTTTTTGCTACATTTTAATAAGGGTACAGAGCTCATTAAAAGTGTGAGGAAGAAAATAAATCTTACAACAGGCTTACCTCACATGTGTATTTTCCAAGCCCTTACTAACATTACCATGTTACTCACCTCTACAGAGAAATACTTCTCAATCAAGTTTAATGAAGCTTTGTACACAGACTCATTTTCATGGTTTTGCAGAGCTTCAATTTTGTCCAAACCTCCACATTCTTCAATCATTATACTAAGTTTCTCAGTTTCCCCTAGTTTCTCAGCAGCCTAAAAAAAAAAAACCCAAAGTTTTCTGGCCAATATACTCTAAATGCTGCATTTCAGTGAAAACAACACCTATGTTACACTAATAACATACATCAAACAGAAAAAAAACACTTGACAGTTCCTTTAACTCTGTGAGGTAGTTTTGTCAAATTCAAGGTGATCAGATCTGTACTCGCTCTTAGTAACTACTTCTGCAGCTTATGGCCAGAAGACATCTTAAATCTTAGTTCTCAACCTTTTCTAGGCATCAAAATCACTTAGGCAACTTAAAAAATGATACCATATTCAGGATTCCGGTTCAATTGGTCTGTGATGGGAACAGGAAATTACTGTTTTGTAAAAGCAGGCCAGAAAATACCAAACTGAACTCAAGGTGTTGAGTCACTGTCTAAAATATAAGGCAAAGACAGCCTATGGTGTTTTAAGTTCAGGAAAAGGAAATCCTAAGGCAATGTACCTCTAAAACCGAAATCAGTCAGAGAGAAATAAAGTTTAAAACCCATTTTATTGCTTACAAACTGCAGTCCAGGCCTTCTCTCTCCCGCTCCAGAAGCCAACCACCCCTCCCACCCACCTCTCCCATTCAGATAAGCCATCGGTTGCCCAGGTAATTACCCATCAATATGGAGATAAACTTCTCTCCACCCTTGAGGAGCGCCTACTGATATGCAGATGAACTAAAGCAAAACTTCTCTCCACCCCCGGAGGATGCACTAAACCCAGGAGATTCTGGAAATATAATTTTACCCACGGTGTGTAAAACCAAATTTCCCTAACTGGATTATTTGTTGATATCAAGAAGAACTTACTAGGTCTAAGAGTGATATTGTGGTTAGACTGTTTTAAAGCCCTCAACTTTTGGAAGGTACATATTTACAGATCGAACAACTTAGTTGCTTCAAAGTAATTAAGAGTAGGAAAATATGCCAAATGTTGACAAATTATTTTTGCTGAGTGATGAATACACCAAGCATTATTATTCTAGTCAACTTTTGCATATAAAAATTCCCATCATCAGAAGTGTGAAGTTAAGTCCTACCAACCACCCATCACTGTGACAAAATGCCATATGCTAGCATGCCTGCATCAATTAGGAATGAAACAGAAGAAAACAGAATTGGTATCTACTTATGCCAATTAAATTTCACCAAAACTTAGTATGAATTGGGGAATGAAACATTCTTGACAAAATAAATAGGTATGAATAGTATACACATATGGATTGGATTTCAAGTCACATCATCCACTTGTCATGTCCTTATTATAATCTGTTGTCACATCTTAGGAGTGTGGACCACAGACAGTAACAGGGTTTCTGATTCTACTGGTAAGTGGCCTACTAAGTAAACTTAGCTGCCCTCTCCCCCACTTGTCTAAAGAGTAAACCAATTTATCAAGCCCTAATTCAAACAAATGCCACCTTGTTAAGACTTACCTGAAAGATATTTGAAATGGCATCCAGAATAACCAGAATAATTTTGGTGTCTTTTGCAGTTAAGAGGTTCACCAACGGCTCTATTATGCCACAATGAACAAGGTATACAATCTGTTCAACTGTTCCACCACTTGTATAGTTGGTCACAGCCCATACAGCTTCCTTTTGTGTCTTGAAGTCTGCCTAACATCAGGAAACAAGTTTATTTCTACAGTTGTAAAACCAAGATTCCAAAGTACTATTTTAGAAAAACAATGAATGAAACTAACAACTAGTTCCACCCAACCATTAAGTGGCTACATTATTAAGCAAAGGACTGTAAACAGACCCCAAGAATGGTACATTATAAATCTTATCAAGCATAGCTCTGTAAATGCTCATCCATGAATATCAACAATCCTTTAAGAGTCCTAAGAATTTACTACCTTAGAGAGAATGCTGACAAGGTAAGGCACTAGTCCATGATTCACAACTTGCTGGATTTGGTCCTGGCGGCCAGCTGTGATGTTTGACATTGTCCATGTAGCTTCCTTCTGAATATTAGTTTTGGGGTTCGTTAGCAGGCTGGGAAAGACCATAAGTGCTCCTGCATCTATTACAACCTGAGTTTGTTCATCTGTCCCAGTGACAATATTTCCTATGGCTCTTAATGCAGGAGTCTGAAAAGGGAAGAAAAATGTTTGATGCTGGCAGTTACTTACCATTTTATTTCCCAGCACTGCTCAACAACTCTATACTGTATTAAAAAGTTTTGACAAGTAAGAGGGTCATTATGGCCTAAAACTGGAGGTATGTCAATTATTAGTATCAACTGATTATAGTATCAATTGATTATGCTCCTTATGCTTTATATTCTCATCTAGAAGGTCACAACTTACCACAATTGGAAATTCAGTTGCTCCCAGAAGCTTCACAAGTTGGGGCACAACTCCTGTTTTCACAACCATTTCAATCCGTTCATTTGGACCATCAGTAAGGTAAGAAATAGCCCAGCAGGTATCTGCTAATACTTCCGGATCATCATAATGCAGAAGACGAACTAAAGTTGGAAGAATCTGCTCAACAGCATCTACTGGGGGTGCAGGATTTTTGTTGCGACAAAGGTTTGAAAGTGTCCAGGTAAGGTTACGTAAGTAACCACACTGAGGGGAAAGAAAAATAAAATGAGATGTCCTTGGTCTTTTGAGGGAGTGGAAAAAATTAGAATCAATCAAGTATTAAGTAACCCGACTTATGTCAGTCACTTACTGCTAAAGAGGACATATCAGGAACTGCAAGAAGAGCCAATAGCGGGTCAACTGCACCATACTTGATAACTAAGTCACGGAAAACTGAACCATCACCTGAAAAAAAAGAAAGGTTAATCATATCTACTTGTCCATCAGCATCCGTGTTCAGTTACTGAGTACACCACGATCTTAAAGCAAAGACAATATTCTCAGAAATTCCCCTGCTTACTTAGATGCCACTTTCTCCCTTTATTAGCACTGAAAGCAAGCAAATTCAAAACTTGAGTCATTATCACAACAAGGCACTTCTCCCAACCTCAGTGGAATTTTAATCCAAATACCTGCAATGTTTCCTAGAGCCCATACAGCTTGTTCACTGATGTGAGCATGGGGTGATGCCAACAGAGAAATGAATGCTGGGATGGCGCCTCCATCTACCACAGCCTTGGTCTGTTCTGATGTCCCAGAAGCAATGTTAGTGAGTGCCCAAGCAGATTCAAACTGAATGGGACTACAGTCTGTTCTGCCCAAGAAGGACACAAATTTTGGAATCAAACCAGCCCGGATTATGTTGTCTATGGGGGGCTGTTTTTCCCTAGAAAGCAGTTTCCTAACGGTGAACAAAAAGAGAAAAGGTAAAGGTGATTAACAGAAGAAATTAGTGTAAAAATCAATTTAAAATGTAATTCTTAAGTTTAGAACTTTAGACAACCTTTTAAGTAAAGCACTAAATGCTGAGATACCTGGAATTTAAGAGAAGCTGAACAGACTGGTCACATAGTGCTCCCATGTATCTTTAACTACTTTTCCAAAACTGAAATATTACCAGTAGACTTACCCACCTGTCTCTCTCTGTAATCTACTTTAGCTCTTGTCACTCTTTAAAAACTTTGACAATCTAAGAGCTAACTTCCATCTTTCTACTAGTGATGTTAAATGCCTTTTCCATATCATTTTTGTCATTTGGACCTGTTTTTCTGCACACTGTCAAGCTATAGCAATTACTAATCCTTTCTGTTATGATATCACAAATATTTATGTACAGTTGGAGTTAAGAGTCTACATATACTTATTTTCTACAGGTGTACCAATTCCACTTACTGAATAATTCCTCTTTTTCTCTGACACTGACTCAAAATGCCACTTTAACAAAAACTGTAATTTTCTTAAAAAGTACACCAAAAAGCTAAAGGTGATTATCACTGGCGGTGGGTGGGGTTTTAGGAAATCAGTTTCACCCAAAGAAGTGCCTAATGAAAATAAGCCTAATGTTGGTTTAAGCTTCACTTTACCCATGCCATCTGTCACGTTCCCAACAATAAAAATCTAAGAAGGCTGATTTCTCATCCTTTAGATCACTCATGCTTTAGCAGAAGAGGCTTACCTAGCAGCTTGAGTAGCCTGGAGCTGGCTTTCCAAACTGCTGCCATTTATGCCTTTGACAATGTCATCAACAGTCCAATTTACAGTGCCCTACAAGAACAGTGGAATTAATTTTGCAAACTTATGTTTAACATTAAATACAAACAATAATGAGGTATACAGTAAACAAGTATATGCATTGTTTGTACAGTGCTACAAAATAAATAGGTATGAATAGTATACACATATGGATTGGATTTCAAGTCACATCATCCACTTGTCATGTCCTTATTATAATCTGTTGTCACATCTTAGGAGTGTGGACCACAGACAGTAACAGGGTTTCTGATTCTACTGGTAAGTGGCCTACTAAGTAAACTTAGCTGCCCTCTCCCCCACTTGTCTAAAGAGTAAACCAATTTATCAAGCCCTAATTCAAACAAATGCCACCTTGTTAAGACTTACCTGAAAGATATTTGAAATGGCATCCAGAATAACCAGAATAATTTTGGTGTCTTTTGCAGTTAAGAGGTTCACCAACGGCTCTATTATGCCACAATGAACAAGGTATACAATCTGTTCAACTGTTCCACCACTTGTATAGTTGGTCACAGCCCATACAGCTTCCTTTTGTGTCTTGAAGTCTGCCTAACATCAGGAAACAAGTTTATTTCTACAGTTGTAAAACCAAGATTCCAAAGTACTATTTTAGAAAAACAATGAATGAAACTAACAACTAGTTCCACCCAACCATTAAGTGGCTACATTATTAAGCAAAGGACTGTAAACAGACCCCAACAATGGTACATTATAAATCTTATCAAGCATAGCTCTGTAAATGCTCATCCATGAATATCAACAATCCTTTAAGAGTCCTAAGAATTTACTACCTTAGAGAGAATGCTGACAAGGTAAGGCACTAGTCCATGATTCACAACTTGCTGGATTTGGTCCTGGCGGCCAGCTGTGATGTTTGACATTGTCCATGTAGCTTCCTTCTGAATATTAGTTTTGGGGTTCGTTAGCAGGCTGGGAAAGACCATAAGTGCTCCTGCATCTATTACAACCTGAGTTTGTTCATCTGTCCCAGTGACAATATTTCCTATGGCTCTTAATGCAGGAGTCTGAAAAGGGAAGAAAAATGTTTGATGCTGGCAGTTACTTACCATTTTATTTCCCAGCACTGCTCAACAACTCTATACTGTATTAAAAAGTTTTGACAAGTAAGAGGGTCATTATGGCCTAAAACTGGAGGTATGTCAATTATTAGTATCAACTGATTATAGTATCAATTGATTATGCTCCTTATGCTTTATATTCTCATCTAGAAGGTCACAACTTACCACAATTGGAAATTCAGTTGCTCCCAGAAGCTTCACAAGTTGGGGCACAACTCCTGTTTTCACAACCATTTCAATCCGTTCATTTGGACCATCAGTAAGGTAAGAAATAGCCCAGCAGGTATCTGCTAATACTTCCGGATCATCATAATGCAGAAGACGAACTAAAGTTGGAAGAATCTGCTCAACAGCATCTACTGGGGGTGCAGGATTTTTGTTGCGACAAAGGTTTGAAAGTGTCCAGGTAAGGTTACGTAAGTAACCACACTGAGGGGAAAGAAAAATAAAATGAGATGTCCTTGGTCTTTTGAGGGAGTGGAAAAAATTAGAATCAATCAAGTATTAAGTAACCCGACTTATGTCAGTCACTTACTGCTAAAGAGGACATATCAGGAACTGCAAGAAGAGCCAATAGCGGGTCAACTGCACCATACTTGATAACTAAGTCACGGAAAACTGAACCATCACCTGAAAAAAAAGAAAGGTTAATCATATCTACTTGTCCATCAGCATCCGTGTTCAGTTACTGAGTACACCACGATCTTAAAGCAAAGACAATATTCTCAGAAATTCCCCTGCTTACTTAGATGCCACTTTCTCCCTTTATTAGCACTGAAAGCAAGCAAATTCAAAACTTGAGTCATTATCACAACAAGGCACTTCTCCCAACCTCAGTGGAATTTTAATCCAAATACCTGCAATGTTTCCTAGAGCCCATACAGCTTGTTCACTGATGTGAGCATGGGGTGATGCCAACAGAGAAATGAATGCTGGGATGGCGCCTCCATCTACCACAGCCTTGGTCTGTTCTGATGTCCCAGAAGCAATGTTAGTGAGTGCCCAAGCAGATTCAAACTGAATGGGACTACAGTCTGTTCTGCCCAAGAAGGACACAAATTTTGGAATCAAACCAGCCCGGATTATGTTGTCTATGGGGGGCTGTTTTTCCCTAGAAAGCAGTTTCCTAACGGTGAACAAAAAGAGAAAAGGTAAAGGTGATTAACAGAAGAAATTAGTGTAAAAATCAATTTAAAATGTAATTCTTAAGTTTAGAACTTTAGACAACCTTTTAAGTAAAGCACTAAATGCTGAGATACCTGGAATTTAAGAGAAGCTGAACAGACTGGTCACATAGTGCTCCCATGTATCTTTAACTACTTTTCCAAAACTGAAATATTACCAGTAGACTTACCCACCTGTCTCTCTCTGTAATCTACTTTAGCTCTTGTCACTCTTTAAAAACTTTGACAATCTAAGAGCTAACTTCCATCTTTCTACTAGTGATGTTAAATGCCTTTTCCATATCATTTTTGTCATTTGGACCTGTTTTTCTGCACACTGTCAAGCTATAGCAATTACTAATCCTTTCTGTTATGATATCACAAATATTTATGTACAGTTGGAGTTAAGAGTCTACATATACTTATTTTCTACAGGTGTACCAATTCCACTTACTGAATAATTCCTCTTTTTCTCTGACACTGACTCAAAATGCCACTTTAACAAAAACTGTAATTTTCTTAAAAAGTACACCAAAAAGCTAAAGGTGATTATCACTGGCGGTGGGTGGGGTTTTAGGAAATCAGTTTCACCCAAAGAAGTGCCTAATGAAAATAAGCCTAATGTTGGTTTAAGCTTCACTTTACCCATGCCATCTGTCACGTTCCCAACAATAAAAATCTAAGAAGGCTGATTTCTCATCCTTTAGATCACTCATGCTTTAGCAGAAGAGGCTTACCTAGCAGCTTGAGTAGCCTGGAGCTGGCTTTCCAAACTGCTGCCATTTATGCCTTTGACAATGTCATCAACAGTCCAATTTACAGTGCCCTACAAGAACAGTGGAATTAATTTTGCAAACTTATGTTTAACATTAAATACAAACAATAATGAGGTATACAGTAAACAAGTATATGCATTGTTTGTACAGTGCTACAAATGTTTTATGTTGTTATCACAGTAAAAAGGTTTGAGAACCGTTACAGTTAACTCAAAACGTGTCCCTTTCTCTCCAGCAGCTCACAACCTAACAGGGAAAATGTGGCAAGTAGACAACTATAAACAAATGGTACATACACATATTGTCTTATACTGTATTTACTCTCCATTTTTGGTGCAGAACCAGGGTGCTACAGGGATTGTAAGGGAGCACCTTTCCTGCTGGGCTGACCAAGGAGCGCTATAAGAAAATGGGATTTGAGGTAATAATACAGTAATAACATATAGGTGCTATTAATCAATGGGCAGAAAAAAATTGGTAAAATGTGGAGCACTAGAGGATAGCATAATGTGAAAAAAAAATAGAAAAGCACCCAATCTTTGAAAGATGAGAAAGGTAAATTTGAGAATCTAAGATGGGTCTAATTTACAAAAAAAAACTTTCAAAAAGAATATAGATTTAAAGCCATTCAAGTTTTTAGGTAGAAAATAAACATGTTTGAAGTATCACTGTAGGAATTTTACATAAATAGTATGTGGCAGAGAATGAAGGGAAAGAAAAACTAGGAGACTGCTTGAAACATTTCAGGAAGACCTGAAACAAAGCTGGAGGCAAGTACAAAAAAAACCCCAAAATACCAAAAAAAAAATGTTCAAACTAAGCCAGAAAGTGGATGGTTCTGGACACAGTAATTTTCAGTTAACAAGAAATGGCCAGCACAAGGTACCAAGCTGGCCGCCAGAAATACAGAGAAACCTGAAGGGAGATCAGAGCTAAAGACCTTGGAATCAGCCTCAATGGATTATGGAGAGCGGGCAGGAAAGACATCATTAGATTACTGATCAGGAGCAGAAAAAAGACTTCACAGAGTTGACAGTTAAAACCAGAGGCTAGGCATCTTACTACACTGACAGGCAGTGACTGCAATGGCGATGTGAGGACTTGATAATAATGGTGAATGCTGAAACCACAAGATTGTTTATGGGAAACCTTCATGAAGATTGTTTATCAATGACACTTTAATTTAAAAAACAACATAAGCCTAGGAATATTTATTCTAAGAAAAGCCCCATATCGATTTTCTGGGTTTAACATAATTCATAGGCTAAAATGTATTTACCTGGTTGTTGCGGTTCTGCAGTGGAGAAGTAGCATCATCAGGAAATGAGCTTACATTTCTCCTTTTCAGCATCTGGTCATCCTTCTTAGCTTTCCTCAGCTCCACATTAACTTCTATTCTGCGCCGCCTCATTTCCTCAAAAAAACATCATTTCCCCTATTATTATGAGTTTGTGTTGCCAAGTGAGGGCACTTTTTCAAATTCCCTCAAAGTTTTGACCCCTTCTCAAAATCCTTTCACTTAAAAGTACCACTGGAAAGCAACAGAAGGTACTCACTGTTGTGTCCTTCCCCTTGTTCTTGAATCTGTTAAGGCGGGCAGCTGGTGAATTAGCATTCTCGTTGGTGGACATGGTTATGAGACAAAGGGAGAAAGCTGTAAGATAAGCAGAGAATATATTCTCCCCTTCATCATTCTGTTTTGTCAGTTAAGAGCATTCATTGAATTATCAAGCATATATATTGAATTCACACTTCTACATCAGAAGAGGAACTTCATTTTTCAGCACCAGGAAATAGCTTTGGCCAAACAGTATTTCCCCTCCTCTCTGAAGGGCTGAGGCTACCTGGAGCAGTACTGTCCATCAGAATAAATCTAAATTTCCCAGTAACCATATTTTTAAAAAAACAAATAAAATTAATTTTAATGTTATTTAACCGAACATATCCAAAATACACATTTCAACACATGATATTAAAACGTTATTGAGGTATGTTACATTCTCTTTTTATACTAATTCTTCTAAATCTTGAACTTTAAGTTTACAGCTTATGTCACAATTCGGACTAGCCCACATGCGTTTGGTGACCACCATATTGGTCAGTGTGACTCTAGCGCAGTTAAATGAAGACAAAGCAGGGGAACTGGGCTTACTGTCAAAAATCTATATCCCAGGGGCAATAAACTCAGATCCTCTAGACGCTCTCTTTATTGTCTTTAAATGGCCAAATGGGTACATTCTCCGCACTGGAAAATTAAAGAAAAATTTGGCTCATCGTTACATTATGGAGTCTTTCGTAATATTTCCTGTCAACACTGAAAACTTGCGACGCAATTCTCCATCTTCAGCATCTCGCACACATTTCCATTTCCAGAAATTTCTTGTGAGTGTACTTAATTAGGCCGGTATCAGCCGTGCTTCACTCAGACCCGGATCATTCCTTAAGAGCAATCTCCAAAAGATGACATATTATCTTTAATTTCATGTTCACATAACGAAAACGTGACACTGCCAACCGAGGGCCTGCGTGTTAAGAGTTCTTCCTACCGCCGCCTCCGTCTCGAATCCCTTCCCTCGCCCCCACCCGGGGGAAGACGCGGCGAAAAACCGTGGAGGAGGGGCCGGGCGCTGGGACCCTCCGGGGACTTTTCGCCCTCGGGCCTCCCGGGTTCTCCCGGCCGCGATGCGCAAAGGCTCTCGCTGCCTTTCGCAGAGTCTCGGCACCCTGAAGCCCAAGCACTCGTACAGCCTCACCGACGAGCAACGCTCCCGAGGCCTCGTCAACGAGGCAGGCCAAAGCCAGGCCAGGCGCGTACCCGGAGCCTCCCTTCCCGCCACCCGCAGGCCGAGAGCGGCCTGCGGGCCTGCGGTCACCCCTCAGAACCGACTGCGGCCTGACTTCGTTACCTACACGGCCAGCTCAGGCTTCCCCAAAAGGCGGTGCGGGGCACGCAGGCGGCGGGTTAACTGCCCTCAAAACAGCAACCGCAGCTCCGCTCGAAGATGGTGTGGTCAGTGCAACCGGCCGGCGCGATTTAAATTTCCCGGTGGCTCCGCATTCCGATTGGCTGGTTCGAGCCTACGCTATGAGCCCATTGGTGGATTTGAAAAACCCAGTTGGGAGGGTGGGGGTCCTAGGGCTTAGAAGAAGAAAGGATAACATCGCGAGACGAGGGAGCGGTCGCGCGATCCCAGAGCGCCTTGCAGCTCCGAGTGGAAGGACTCCAGAGCCCGGCATGCCGCGCGGAGGGCCGGGTTTCAGCCCGAGCGTGTCTTGCCTCTTTGGGCCTTTGCTGAAGATATTTGTGTGTAAGGTTACCCACTGGTCGCTTCCTTGCACGGCTGCCTTGAAGTACCACAAGTGATTCCCCAAATCATTCTCGTTCAAGATCTTGATTTAAAAACACAGCTATGCGATTTTTTTCCTGATAGGACACAGAAGGAACTTAGGCGGTTCTATTATCTAGGGAAGGGATAAGGCATATTTATGTTGCATTTTTAGTTTTGTTTTTTTTAACTTGTCATAAAAGACTACATAGAAGCCACAAATACAGTAACGAAAGTTTATTATGCCTGTTTCTCCAAATATTCTTATTTTTAAATAATTCAAATACAGAAGAATTGCATATATTTACCCAGATTTGTCAAATGGTAACATTTTGGCACATTTGCCATTTTTCTCTCTCCCTATGTGTTCATGTGTGTATATATATATAATATGTATATGTATATATATACACACACACACATATATATATGGCTTTCACATACCATTTTTGAACCATTTGAGAGTAAGTTTCAGAAATAATGTCCCTTTACCCCCATCTTCTAAAAATAAGGACATTCTCTAATATAAATCCAAACCGCAGTCATCAAATTCAACGACTAACTTTTGATGCTATTATTTATTACTTAGTCCATGTTCAAGTTTTGCCAGTTATTCCAGGAATGTTTTAGGTTTACTTTACACATTTCTGAATAAAATGTTTGCATTTTCTTGCCATGTACTTTTTAAAAATATCAGTGATGGTTATGAGGGCATCAAGATCATTGGCCATTTTGTTTTCTTTCTGTATTCAAGGGTATTTTAAGAAAAATCGTTTTGTTTTTTACCATAAATTCAAACATTGAACTCTGTCCATTCTTGCAGGCATTTATGCCAGCCTCACTTGGGTGTAGCAGCCATGGGGTTCACAGGAGGCTGATTCTACTCCCACCCACCCAGTAAGCATAATTCTATCTCCCTAGATGCAGAAATGTGGGAGGAATTCACTCCTAACCCAGTCACTGCACTGCATTCTCTTGGCTACTGTGAATGGTTCAGGGGCAGAAGTGTGACCTAAATTCATCCAGTTGGGAAGCCTATGCCTTTTGTTTAATGATTGGAGGTAGGAATACAAGCTCTGTTCTTCTGAACTGAGGAATGTGAGTCTTAGAAATCTGAATAGGACAATTGTAGAGAAACCATGAGAGCTTTGATCAACAGCCTGTCCTACCTCTGAAGGTTGTTATTAAATGACTTTGCAATTATGTCATCCAATGCACTTCATTTTTCAATTAGTTAAATTGGGTTATCTTTTGCTTGAAAATAGAATACAGTGTGCCCAGAGGTGGTGAAACATTTTACATATCTTAATACATTTAACCTTCACAACTCTGCAAAGTAGTATTATTTATTACCTGTTACATTTCACAGAAGACAGTCAAGAGCAGTTAACTTGTCCAGGTCCACACAGCCAGTAAATGGCAGAGACAAGCTTTAGACCCAGGCTGTCTAGTTCCAGGAGTCTATGTTCTCAACCACTCTTTGCACCTGTACTTGCACCTGAAAACAATCTGAAAAAGGTGTATAATGTGAAATAGGAAAGTGGCCTTTGAAAGATATAATATCGCTCTGGGAACCATACATCCTCCATTTTTAGCTATTGTAGTTTGAATGGACATTCAGGAGAAGGCCCTATCACGCAGGGGCCAATCAGCACATTCCATCCCCCTGACAGGGATTGGTTTGGTGATAAAGATGGAACACAATCCAATAAAATGTTTACTGAGAGATTCAAGATGGCGGCATGAGAGGTGAGACGGAGAATTCCTCCCAAAACCACAGATAGTATGAAAATGTAGTTAATTGATACAACTAACCCTAAAACAACAACAAGAAAGAAGGCTGAACCAGACTGCATACAGACCTCACGAACAGAGCAGACCTCACGAAACAGGGACACTGACTGACAAAGTGAAATGACTGACTACGGAAACTCAGCAACTCTACCAAAAAATCAACTGTACGCATTTCCCACAGATGACTGACCTTCAGCCTGACCTGAGTGAAGGACATCAACAGTTGGAAGAAAGGGAATTCACTGGCTAAAACAAGAATCATATCCCGCAGGTTATATGTATGATTGAGATATCATGCAAAACAGCTCAACACCTAAATGTAAATAGTACCTGTAAAAAAAATTACCAAATACCATCCAAGAAGTAGAGTAAATAAAGCAAAATTTTTTCCAATTAAAAAAAAAATGTTTACTGAGGCCTTAGGGAGATATCCTCTCTCTTCCATAAGGCTGTGTGCTATGGTGATGTGGGCCTGAGAATGGAGTTGCTCCAGAGAAAGGTGTCCAAATCTGAATAATCCTAGTTTGTTTTCCAATTGTTCTTTCACATAAAAACTGTGCTCCACTAAAAAAAGTGGTTAGTTTAGCCTGCAACTCAAGCATTGCACAAATGTTTTCCTTAAGAGACAGTCATTATATTTTGGTATGTGGTAGCAATGATTTATGCATACTTCCCATTTTTGTCACACAAACTATTAAAAAGATGTGTACTCAATGGTGAGGACTTAATACAATTAATAATTCTTATGGTGTCATCAAGGACACTCTTAAGTGAAGCTGGCTTTTCCCTCAGCCACTGGTTGAAGGTGAAGAATATGTCTGTTACTGGTTTGGTGCCACTGACTTGATTCACTAAGGTGTCAAGTTTACCCACCATCAACTTCTACAACAACAGTACTAAATAATTAGTGAACTATTCACTAATAATGTCTCAGTTTTCATAAAAAGCATTTCGTGGATGACTCCGTGTCCATAGGTAATTAAACAGTGACATACACACAGACACATGAGATATGAAAAACATAGCTAAATGTTCAAAGTGGTTAACTCCGAATGGTAGAATTACGGCCAATTTCAATTTCCTTCATTTGGTTTACCCACATTTTATACAATTTACAAGGAACAGTTACTGTGCGTCTAAGAAGAAAATAAAATCATGTACTTTTAAAAACCACAAGTGCAGCATCTCTACATGTAACAGGCACAGAGATACTGTGCAGGTAACCAGAAAATCTAAATCTTTATCCCAGGACCTAGCTTTACGATAAAAACAACAAAAAATCCGTATAATTTTGTATTTAGGGACCTTATTATATTAATTTTTCCTTTAAGTCGGAGGAAAAGGGAGGCACGGGGAGGTAAGTGGATGTAGACGAGGAGGGCGGATTTGAAGCCTGTTCACCCAGAATCCCAACAATCCCCATCACATTAGATTAATGTGTTGAATAAATTCGGGAACAGAAGGAAGGAGGGGGCTGTAAGGTACCAGAGGTTGGCGTGGGGGGCGGGGCAGAGGTGCGAGAAGACCTCAGGCTCCGCGAGTGGCTCCTAACGCCCACGGCAGAGCAAGGTCCACGGGAACTTAGTGAAATGCAGACGCACGGGCCCGAACCAGCTAACAGAATTCGAATGGACGGAGGACAGGTATTGGAATTTTGTTTAAACTTCTCCAAGTTTGCCTATTCGGCTACTGATCCAGGGCAAAGGACCTCACGAGAAAAACTCGGAAGAAGGTCCCGCACTACTGGAGCAAAGCGGCGCGAAGAGCCACGCGCAAGCACGCGGGAGTTGGGGAAACTTAAAAGGGCGCAGGCGCGCGCTGCCGCTGCTGGGGGCGGCCCCCAAATCACAGGCGGTCCGACGTGGGGCCGTGGAGCCCGGGGGCGGGGCGCGATGATGGCATCACATAAGGAGATGGTGCGAAAAACCGGATCTTGTAGTGACCCAGTGGCCTAATGGATAAGGCATCAGCCTCCGGAGCTGGGGATTGTGGGTTCGAGTCCCATCTGGGTCGCAAAGAGCTTAGTTTTGATGGAGAAAAGGGCTATCATGGGAACTGAGAACAGCAGAAGTAGATTTTCAAATGTGAAGGTTTCGCGTCTCTACAATCAATTTCAAGGATGAAGAGTGCTTACAAATTAGAAAATGCTTTCCCACGTTTTGAAAACTGCAAGATGAGACCTTGCAAGTGAAAGCTGAGATTTCATCCAAAGAGGGCTTCTTCAGTCTTGCTTAAACTTATACCGACTTTTAAAAGGAAAAAAACGCTAGGAAGATGGAGTCACCTCTTTTTCTGTCTACCTTGTCAAGCTGAGCTTCACGTGGGCATCCACACATGCAAAACTTTCTCCCTATCCTTACCCCAAGGAGTGTTTGAGCAGATTCAACCGTGCTGGCTCCAGACTGGTTTCCAGTATAAAGAGAATTTATAGAAAAGCAATTGTGCTGTTTCAACGTAGAAATATAGCAAACATAATTGATGGCTTTTGTCCCTAAAGTATCACGAAAGACGAATTACAGTGAGGACGTAGGTTGTTTTGGTGTGGGTGTGGGTTCGGCTTACCAATTAGCGTAATAAAAGAAATGCAATCAAAGTTCAAGCTTTTCAGACCGGTTGACTAGCTTGAAAAGTTTAAACTTTTCTCTCAAATCTGGGACAAGAGGATTATCACTGAGTTAATTCCTACTCTTTAAAATCAACTAAATGCAATTTGGTATCTCGGATTTGAGCCTGAAACAGAAAAGGGGCGTTATTGCGAAAAACTAGTGGAACCAGAATAGACTCTGGACTTTGGTTACAGTAATGTACCAATGTTGGTTTCTTAGTTATGACAAATGTACATGGTAATGTAAGATGTTAATACGAGGAGAAACTGAGTGAAGGGCATACGGGAGCCCTCTGTTTTATCTTTGCAACTTTTATATGTCTGAAGTTATTCAAAAA